ACAAGATTAAACTAAGCCGGATCCACCCAGTCTATGTACTGTACACTCAGGTGTGTTTGTAGTCATCTGCCTTGACATATGCTATCAGATCTGCAGTTAAAACAAAGAAAAAACAAATTGACAATCGCCAAAATGCAAACATGTTAGAAACAATACAATACCGTATATCTTTGCTTCAAAAAAACGCATTCATGAATGTCTCTAATTTTGATTAGACTCTTGGAAGGAATATATTCCTGTAAAGATTCTCCATTGGCCTCACAAAACATTTCTCCTTCATCGAAGGCTGGTGTGACCAAGGATGACTCTTTTCCTGAGTGTTTTGTAGTAGCAAGAAAGTAAAAAAAAAAGCTTTATGTTATTGTTTTTAGCATTCACGTCTTGTCCTGAAACACAAATGAAGTGGATAATGAAATAAAAATAATGTATAGTTAGAAAATACTGTATATTGTTACAAATGGGGGGTTACAAGAAAATCGGGAACTAATTGATCAGATAAATCAGTAAGTAAAATAAATAATCTTAACCCCAAACTTGTAAAGATTTTGCTAAGATTTTGCTGTACCTGAATGGTTGGTATAATTAGTGGCACGAGTTCTTTGTCCTCCGGCACAGTTTTGATGAAATGAGTAATAATTCAGGTTACACTTGGTTAAACAGGTATTTATTTTAAATGACAAAACACCCAGTACACTACTCACAACACACACGTTTCCCTCCATACAGCACAAGTTTACAAACATGGCGTCTCAGGGGCGTAACATCCTCCCCACCCAGAAAAATCCCAGACTCTTAATGCCTACAAAGGAGAAATAAGCTGCCTTCTCAACCAAACAGAATAAAACCTACATTGAAACCTACAAAACAAATGGGAGCCTATCTCCCTAATCTACTATAAAATGCGCCCACTAAGAAGGAGAGACCATTTTTAACAAAGGGATTCTTCACTCAGGAAATCCCAGTTTCCTAAAAACTACAATAATAGCAAGCTCTCTTAGCGAGATTTAAATACCTGGCTCCAGTAGAGCCTTTTTTGGGTGATCTCAAACAAGGCCCTCCTACCTCACACGTGCTTTATGTTATGTCTCCTCCTGTCTGCTGTGGTCTGCTCTCTTCTTCCTCTGTTCTGCCTTGATCTGATGTTCTTTTGTGACTTGTGTTGATTGGCATTTAATCACTTACCCAGAACATAACTAAGGAAAACCCAGGTAAACTTTACGATTGCTTTCATCACTGAATCTGGCTCCCCTACAGCTCGGAAAACATCCCCTTTGCTTTGAAGCTGAAAATGTCCTAGGAATTGCCCATTGTTTCTAGATTCTTTTGAGGAACATCCATAGTCACTTCCAGCTGTAACAATATTAATTTCCTTTCACTTTCAGTTGTGCTCCATAATCTCTAATTAAAATATTTCACAGAGCGCCTCTTTGTAGAATTGAGGACTATGGGTATCTGTTGTAAACTTTATATGTAGTGCACACATGCACAAATTAAAATATTTCACCTTAATCAGATAGGAGTCTTTTCAAACCTTTATCTGTAAAGCCAGGAGAAGTAAGAAATCCAGGAGGACTGAACTGGCTCTTTAGGGGAAGAGCCCACATAAGCTTGGAAGAGAAGAAGGAGAGAAACACAGGTGCTGTTGTTTAAGCTGAAGAAGACAGAGAGCATGGGCCTCTCCATCTGTTTATGGGGGAGCAGGAAATGGAAAAAGGCACAGGAACAGTCCATTCCAGGAGGTGGGGGCTGCAGAATTCTACAATATATCCATCCATCCATCTTGGACCACCTCACTATAATATATATAATTCGTATTCCCCCATTTTGAAACAAGTTCTACTTGTAAAAATCAAGCAAGAGATGCTTAAAATGTTGAAAACCAAACATTCAATAAGATACTGTACAATGATTGGAAGGAGCTAAACTGTAAAGCAAATCTGCATTTGCAATAAGTGAAAACAATTTTCATTAGCTTCAAGTGAAGAAAAAGTAAATCCAAAATGTTTGGGGGAAAAAAGAAAGAATTCAAGCAAAGGAAAAGGAAAATGAGTGCAGGGAAGATAATGTGAAATAATTCTGAATGTCATTTGTGATTGCCTGGAAACATTCTTAAACAAAGCGTCTAATGAATAATATCGAGTTGCAGAATTCAGCACATGGTGTTTGCATAGTCAGCAGGAGCAGCAGGGAAAAATACCCTTACTGAGCCTTGTTGAAATCAGGGTACAATAATTTACCTGGGTGGCAGCAGAGAGCTGTGACACAGGACAAGCCAGTGTCCCATGCAAAGATGAAAGAAGACCTGAAATATTCTGGTCAGACAGAGGAAAAAAAGAGGCCGTGTGCGCAGTATTCTCCCATCTGTAAAGGAGAAGTGAAGCAAAATCTTCTTTCAGTCTGTCTTCAGTTTACCTTTATAGACCTAATGAAGTAACATAATCAAAACAGACATCTGTCTGCTCTCCAGTCAAACACTACATTGTCCACAGAAAAAAGGACATTTCATCTGGGTGGATACTGCTAGCCCCCAGATTAGATCTTCAGCAACTATAATACTGTAGCAAACCGGCTGTTTCCTTCACTGGGCTAGGCAAAACATAAAAATCCTTTTCTGTTTACCCTTAACAACATTTATATCGCTATTTTATGGCACTTAATTAGGAATAAAAAGGTCTGTGTGCTGTATACATCCCTAAGTTGTGTTTTTTTCTGATGAATCACATTACTTTCTATAAAAGAAAATCAATATATAATTTTCATAATGTGGAGTTGCACATGGCTAATTTTAAAATACAAAACTTATCAATGTTAAAAAAAGTATTGCAGATGAAGTGTCACATAAATCATATTCGAAATGTGGTCTGGACAGGTGCCCCAACTTGATTAAAAACGGAGTCTTTATCAGTTACGACCAGAAAACCCTTATTATTGGCAGGAAGTGTAACAAGTTACTTCACAAACCTTTTGGGTCTTGAAACCTTGGCAAACATTTGTATTTAGATCAAGAGATAAAGAGCCCGGCCTACTGAGCAAACTGATAAATTTGGCAGCATTGCCTGGAAAAGACTAGTGCGGCGTCTCATCCTGCCCCCTGCTGGCAGCCTGTTTGCCAAGTTTCCCCCCAACAACACTACAGGACTCAAAACTCAAAAAAGGAAAAAGGTTCATTCCAGATCGGATTACTTTTTTAATTAACTTGATTGAATCTCAAAACAGTGACAGAGAGCCATTCATACTGTCGATCTGACTCGATAATCTTCACAGACTCCAGTGTAACGTAAAGCATTTCAAATAAAGAAACGGTTCATCGTAGACAAAGGGGGCATACTTAAATATTAAAGTTTACAACAAGTAAATGTAAAAAAGTGCGGCCATGACCCTCACAAGCATGATGGATGGATCATTTAGGAACAGCTTATGCCAATTAGGAAGCAGGTGTTTTTCTGTTATAGACTAATAATTAGCATTCAGCATACAGATATAGTCTGCTAAAAAGGACTGTTATGAAACACACATAATAACATGCATCAACCTGTGTCTTCACATTACTCACAGACAGCACGTCCTTTAATGTTTTGGCAAACACAAATTTCAAAGATCATTTCAGCACAAGAAGTAGCGCCCAGGTTTGTTTTTAAACACATTACTAGCGGCACATTGTCAAACAGGCGCCGTGTCAGCAAAAGGTCATATTTTAGGCTGGATTTACATGCACACGTTATTAACAAGACGATCTCGGGTAAACGCTGACCTGAAAACAAAACATAGAAGTGTTACTCTTTCTAACTGTAGAAATACCCAGCAGCAGAACACCACGGCCTTCTGAACGCTTCTGGTACCTTAAACAAAACTAGCCTGTGTTTTGTTTCTGTATTTGTGAGATGATTGAAATGTTATCTTACAAGAACTTTATAATTAGCTTGCAATATGTTTAATTGTTACCTTATAGTGACACAAAGGCAGACCAGTTGTACAACACAGAACGGGTTTGTGCATGTCAGTCCTAGCAAGGGATAAGGCTCTATCCCTAGGTAAGAGGAAAGCAGCTCAGTAAATATGGATATTGGGCTGCCGGTAAATAACAATTAAAAATGAAAGGTATACCAAACGCTTGAGCCTTCTTTAGCAATTAAAACAGAGCCACCAGTTTTAAATCCAGTTTTAACATTAAATCCCACTCACCCCAGTACAGTTATCACTACTGGTACCAATGTATTGGACTGGAGTAGCCAGTTCCAAATCTTTAAGCTATACTTCAGGGCTAGCAGAACAGACAGTGCGTTTGAACCCTGCAAGCCAACTGATTATACTGTATTATCCTAAGAGCATTTGTCTTAACGTTGCCGAATTGCATAGTTCCGTTTCTGAATGGTATTGATTATTCCCTAATTACATCAGCACATAAAGCAAATTACAATATACAGAAATATTGTTAGGAAATATGTGCAGTTTAACAAACTATTTATTGTGCTTATTGAATTAGTAAATAACATTTTGGGGGACGGAGAGTTATAAAGCATAACTACTGCAATGTACTCGCAACTGGTGAATAAAGCAAAACGTTCAACTTCATATGGGATTTACTACAACTGGAATTCTTCTGTGAGGTTCCCCCCACTCAGGGAATAATTCCCGGCTCCTGTTGTCTCGTCATAACCTCTCCACTTGGCAGCGAGAGGAGTTAACACAGAAATCATTGCTCAAGTACGGCGGCATGACTCACACCGGCACGGTAATCACCAGCCACGCGGCCGGCCGGCGCGAGGGCAGACCCCGGCTGCGGGTGGAATACCCTACTCGAGGTCCGCGAGCTCGTTCCGACAGCCGCATGAATCACAAAGCCTCGGAATCACCCTTCCGGCGCGGCCAATGGGCGGCGAGGTGACAGAGCCCGGCCGCCGGGGCGCCCAATCACCGAGGGCGTAACAGCCGGGGCCGCCTCGCCATTGGACCGAGCCGATAAGAGCGCTTCGGCGTCCCCCCCCCCTCCCACCTCCCTCTCCTCGGCGCTTCAACAGCTCCATCTCTGGCAGGTGGTGCCTGTTCTCATGAGGAGTCTGTAACGTTTAGGAAGAACCCGGGGGTAGTAATAGGAAATCACCGTGCCCTGCCTTTCTTTTTTTTTTAATTCTTTTTTTTTTGTTTGTTTTTGCTTTTTAAATTTTGTTCGGGGTTTTTTTTTGTCCCCGAACCGCTCTCTTCCGTGTGCGTGTGGTGCCAAATCAATGTGCGTTTGTGCCGATGGAGCTCCAAATGCGGTGTCTCTCCTCTCCTCCCCCTTCAGAGCCAGCTACTTTCTGTTTTGTGGTGCAGTGAGGGAGCCCGATGTCTCTGAAACGCGGCGTGAGCCCTGTGCCTGCAATGTGAGCGAAGGGGGGAAAAGGGACTGAATAAAGATGTTGATACTTTATCAGCTGCTGCCGCCTCTGTCGCTGCACGTAAACACAGACTGAACAGCCCCGGGTCGTTGTAGCAACAAGCTTTTATTATTCCTTTGGAAGGCTTTTCCCGTTTATTATTATTATTATTTTTTTTTTTGGTAAGATTGGGAAGTGATTGTGCTTTTTTTGGTGGGGGGAGAGAGGGGGGGGGGCGACTTTGATTGTGTTTCCTACGGCGGAGCCCTGGTCATGATGAAGCGCGTCTGAAAAAGAGACTTACAAAAAAAAAATGAGGAAGCATTTTTCAAAAGACACAAAAAAGACAGAGGCCTCTTCCTTTGTAGGCCCCGATCTGGGCTGAAAAGAGGGGCGAAGAAACAGCCCGATGAACAAAAAGGCGAGTAAAATGGGACACGAGAAGACACGCGAGGAAAAGAGAAGAAGATACATTTTATTCATGCCCGCTGTCCACGCAAGTCCGCTGTCTTTCCGAACAAAAAGTACTTTTTGTCTTTAACATAAAACTGATTATTTCAGGAAAAAAATTAAAAGGAAGACCGCCTGTTTATGGGGGCTTCATAACGTTTTTTTAATTTTTTTTTTGGTGCGCTTCGGCTATTTATTTATTTTTTAATTGTTATTTTTTTAATTTATTCCCCCCCCCGCGGTTGTTATCCTTCTGCCTCTCTCGACTTCTCCTCGACCCCGGAGTTCAATGGAAGTATGTTACCAGCTGCCGGTGTTGCCTCTGGACAGGCCGGTCCCCAAGCACGTCCTCAGCCGCAGAGGAGCCATCAGCTTCAGTTCCAGCTCGTCTCTCTTCGGCGGCCCGGACCCCCGGCAGCTATCGCAGGTAAAAAACAAAAAAAAAGAGCAGCCGAGCGGCTTCCTCATAACCGGACCCTCATCATCATCATCATCATCATTCGTTTTTATTTAATCGTCCCCCCCCCTCCGAGCCGGGCAGCGCGCCTCTGCCTGAAAATGAAGAAAACGTCACCGTCACAGATAGGGACGTCTTCTTCAGCGGGCTGTGCGAGGACAGGACGGTGGAGGAGACGCGTTTGGGGGGTTATTTCATACACGTCCTTGAGTTAAAATACAACAGAAAGGGGGATATTTCTGCGTGGTGGTGGTGGTGGGGTTATAGTGTGTGTCGTATCTCCACAGGATGTAAACAGATCCCCCCCACCCGCCCCCCAGTGCCCAGACAGTGTCAGCTATAGCGGAGACCGTCCTCCGCCTTCATTCCTTCAGTCGGCGAGACCGTGGGAATGGCCACGCACTCGTCCGGCGCCTTCCGCGTGGAAGTGTCGCGCTGTTCGCGGCAGTTGGCTGGTGGCGTGTCCTGAAACGGAGACTAAGACGGGGCTGGCAAAGGCATCCGCTCGCCGTTTCTGCGTGGTTTGTTTTCCCCCCGCGAAGGCGCCCGGCGTGGAAGTCTCCCCCGTCCCCGTCCCCCCGCTACACGACAGTGCTGCTGTCCACATGCATGTTCAGGCTGCTTTTCGTGGGTGAGGGTCGCGGCACGTGGAAATTTTTACCATGAACACAGGCCCAAGACCTGAGTAGATTGAAATACGAGTTTTCTGGATGTTAAAAACATGAGCATCGGCAGAACGGTCGTTTCAAATGACGTCTATTTAAATCTCTGCGTATTAAGCTGCTCGCTTCGTTTCCCTATTTGTTTTTTTTTAATTTTCATGTTCAGTTTCTCAAGGGAATACGCTAACGTTAGAAAAGCCTGAAAGCTAAAATGGTCAAATGTTGGACAGATGCTGTCATTGATGAGTTCAACAAGGGAGTAAGAAATCCCACTTAACAAGTGGTTTCTAGGCGCAACTCTTGTACCTAACATCTTCAGAGCTCTTTGTTTTATTACGCAGCGTGCTGTACTGTTAGTGCTGCTTAAGTCAGTTTACAATATCTTCACATATTCCACAAACACTTCTCTGCACTGTGCTAAAACCGTCTGCTAAAATGGACACAAAAAGTACCTTCTTTCTAACGAGTAACCATCTGTTTTTGTTTCTCATTACCAGGTTATGGCAATGTGACTTTCATTTCCTATAAAAAATGTTATTTTTCAAGGCTCTAATCAGGAAAAAAAAAGAAAGCGGATACTTTTGGTTGTAGCAACATTAGGTATTGTGAATACAAGTTTGTTGCTGTTTTGCCCTGTACCAGTTGTTGAAGCAGATGCTATCTCACTCTGTTTATGCTCAAACCAAAACTGTGTATAGGTGACAGAACTCAATTCTAGGAACTTAAATTTTTTTTTTGAGAAGGCTTAAGGTCATACCGTAGAAGAGAAGAGAAGCAATAATTTAAAAGTTTTTTCTAGCACTGGGGCATTGTGAGAGATTTTGTACATTTGTGAAATGTTTAAACTGAAACGGTCTGTAATGTTAGTTTGAAACATGCCTGCAGTATCTAGTATCTGGAAATGTTTCCTCTTGTGTTTAATGGATGAAGCTACACTAACATCGACAGTGTAACTGAAGAGGTGGCTTGTTGTAACTTGAAGTTCAAATGGTAGATTTTAGTCAGCCTTGGTCATTTTCAAAGTATATTGCTTTTGTGTGTAAAGTTTGCTCATTTTTCAGCACAATACATTCTATTCAATAGTAATATTGGGAGAACATTCAACTAGAGCCCATGAGTGAGGCCTTTACCCACATTGTGCTTTACTCAAGAAGAAGCTTATGCTGTCAGGCTGATGTCAGTCTGGAATACCCCCCTAGGTGTGACTTCCCATTGGTTGCTATCTAAAGAATCAAAGTCCCATAGCTTACCAGCAAAACTTTTTTTTTAAATACACAATCCATTCAGTTGGGTGTTAAGTTTCACTGAGGGTTTCAGATACGCACTGTGCTTTTTGTGAGTAATCAAAACAGCCGGACATCAGATACAGTATGAACTGTTGCTTGCGATTGAATATTGAATGTGATATTTTAGCACTGCTCGTTTTTCAGTCTTACCTTTTCATGTTATATACATGTTGAATTTCGTTATGATGAGCATAGTGTGTTTGAATCCTGACCTCTTTGTGACTTTTTGATGTTTTAACTCCAGTGTGCCACTTCAAGCTTAATGGCATTCGTACTGTACGTTTGTTGCTGCATACTAAGTTGAGGAAAGAAACCGTAGCCAGAGGTCTTTTGCAGAGAACAGTGTGGGCACTGAAATAAATTATTGTAAGGTCAAAATCGTAAGGCTAATGTAAGGTGTGATTTTAAAGCAAAACCTCATTAGTTTTCAGCATCTTTAACAATAAATTTAGAGATCTTTTAAGAGCAAAAAGAGAATGAGTTGTACCAAAACACATTTGGAGGTATATGTAGTTAGTGAGGTTAAAGAAGTTCACCTTGAGTGCCAGATCTGTCTCGACTAGATTTATGCCTACCAAAACAGGTTCTTGTATTGCATTGATACTAGATGAATTAAATGGAAAAGCTCGCGATGGATTACAGAAGCTTATTTGTTCCTTTTGGAAACAAACAAACACGGGAATCGTGCTTGATTTATGTGAGCCAGTCGATAAAATATTTCAGGAGATAAAGAAGTAGTGAAGAATGCTAAGGGTGGAAATGAGAAGGCATACATTTGTTTAAGTTTGCGAGCTGCACCCAAAAAGTGAGTTTTGTGCAAGTCTTAAATTGAGTGCTGATGCAGAAATGTAGACCTGCTGGCCGTTTCTTACCTCTGAAAGTGAGCCAAGTCTTCTAGACCTTAACTGGTTTTGTTGTTGCAGTAGAGATTTTAAACCCTGTCCAGATTGTAGAGTCTGTACAAAGCAAGGGAGGTAAATGTGGCTCCATAAGAAATTGCTTTGACCGCCTAGTTAATAATGGAAACAGCTGCATTGACTGCTGGGGTCACACACTGTCATACAGGACTGAATCTTCAGAACGGGTAAAAAGGCGTGTTCAATCAGAAAATAAAATACAATTTTGTGTCTTAATCGTTCACGCCAGGGTCCAGATGAATTCCAAAAATGTGATGCACCCCTCCCCGAAAAAGTAAAACTTACAAATGATTGTGATTTTCAGTGATTATATGATCAAAAGGCGATTGTAGAGAAGTGAACTGTGCTATTAAGTGAAACCTGCTTTGTGACTTTTGTAGGTCCCAGTTCTTGCAAAAGAGCATAAAACAGTCAGTAATGAATGGCTGACACGAACCTCAGTGTACAGGGCATCAGGTCATGCGCTGTACTTTATCCAAGGCGGAAAGTGCAACAGGATTCTTTCTTGGATGGGCCAAGGAGATTGTTGCCAACTTGGCTCTGTGTGCTTTGAAACTTTTTCCTAGTAGTGAACAGATTTCAGAGTTTTTTCATTGGTACGGGTATAGGTAACAGTAGCATTTTAAACATCTGTTACTCAGCCCTAGGAGACCCTGCCTTGTAGATGTGCAACTACATTTACATTTAAAGTGTTAGGTTTTGTTTCCCAATTGGATCTGTGCTTGGATCTTGCAAGTTTAAAGATCCCAGATAAAATACATATTTTTTAATTAAAATCAACTTTGTCCGTTTTAGTTTTGCAAAATTCCAGGATGGCAAAGTTTCCAAAATCGTGTGTCATTTTAGCGTCTGCCTGTGCCCGTTTGACCCGGTGTGTTAAGATTTTAAAACACAAAGTTAGATTGGCAAATTAATCAAATAGAAATAGACATCTAGCAATTTTTTTGTTTTGTATGGAGGCATGTGGAATAGATTACATTAAGGAACAACTACATTAAGGAAAACCATGCCCTTGGCAATAGATACCGAGTCTGGTATGTGAGGTTATTTTTACATTCTCTTAAGAACGACATTGTAACCTGGCCATTTTAAGTACAAACGGAGTCACAAGCTTTTTAATATTAGACATTCCAGTTGAGTTACTACAACATGTAGTACTGTCAATACTGGTTATAAAGAGTGTTTTCTAGAGCCGGTGACCTGAACCAAAAACCAAATGGACTGAAAATGAATAATCTCTGCTTGGAAGAAAGTGATTTCATTGGCAAACTTTATTTTAGCTTTTAGTTTAAAGGGAACTGCAAGCCTATTTTTATATTTTTGGGGTTAGAAAGAATCGGCATTGGTGAAGCATTTCAAAATACAATGAAAGTAAAATGCACACAGTAATGTATATAACCCTCAACGAAATAGATTAACTTTCCACATATGCACAGTGCCATAGTCTGTGATTCAGAATGAAGCAAGAAAATTTCCAGTAAGGTGGAGCGACCCTATTACCTTGTAAACAAGCAGGCTTGTGAATACATCTCTTCTAAATATTGTTCTTGACTTCGAGACAGCGAATCACAGTGGGATATTTCTGCAGTGAAATGTCTGCTGCACAACCTGTACCTATTCTCTTATACATCACATTACATTAGTCATTATAGTGACTAGTGAGCAGGAAGGGCCACCTTGCATCGCAATTCACATGAACTCTTTCTCCCCCTTGTGGCAAGGGCAGTGGTTTGTGACAACACGGTTCCCAAACAGTACTTTGACAAACTTCATTCTTGATTTGTTAAAATGTTGCGAAAACCGTCCATTAATTTATTTTGTATCGTTTTTTTAATAACCGGTCTGAGAAACTGGAACTGCGGCTACCCTTTAAGTTTTTGCCTTTACGGTTAAAAGCTCAGATGTCCCTTGCATAAACTTTCAGTCTTGTTGCAGTTCCCGATCTCTGGTCCCATGTCCGTTTACTGCCCAAGCAGACCCCTGTCTACTGAGTTCACGACGGAGTTCCTATGTTTCTGGGCTGGGCGAATGAGTAACGGATAACGGGCTCAGTTAACAGGGGCATCCTGCCCTGACACTGCAGCTGAGACTAGACACCCATGGCA